CTGGAGTACAAAATACAGCGGAGAGCCCTTCGGAAGGAGGATTTTATTAATTATATTCAGGTAGGCGTTACTGATCAGGAGAGCGTGCTCACTCACCTCGTCGATCCGGCTCAGTGAGACGTTAAGTGATGTCGTAGTTACCCGCGTAGGAAACCGGCGGCTGCTTGAGGCCTCGCCTCACCCGGCCCGTGGCGTTCGCTCGTAAGAGGCTTATTGTCATGGGCTCTTTATTAAGGCACGCCAGGTCGAGAAGCGTAGCCGGCAGTTAGTGCCTGAGTTTGGGGCGAGAGGGTGGTCTTTCTTGCTGTGGCTTTTTCCTGCGGTTTCTTCTCTCTCCAGGGATGCAGAGACCCCCCTTCCCCGATGCGCTGTGCAAATTGTAATGAATTTTTTTGTGGAGTTAGAAGTTTGGCTTGTGCATTACGATTCTAGGAATATGTGGGGTGCTGACAGCTGGAGTCTGAAATATGTGCAATACAAATACTCAAGCTTACTTTCAGTCGGCCTTAGAAATGTAGTGATCTGGCTGAAAAATTGTTGCTTATGTTTTCCTGGATTTAATTTTTATTGTCCACCTGACTAGCTATAAAAAACTTGATCTGTTTTTTTTTTCCTTACTGTTATGTGTCTCCTCGTTTGCTTTAAAATGTTTTTTTCTCCCCATTCTAGTATGAAATTAATCTGCTGGAACTGATCAAGAAAAGAAGAGCAGTAAGTTTATCAATTATTTAGAGTGCAGAATACTTTATGCCAAATTTTCTGTTGCAATAAAATTAATACTTCTTTTTCCTCCTAGCGCATTGGATATTCATTTAAGAAGGATGAAATTGAGAACTCTATTCTCCATAGAGTCCATAGCCTCTTCAACCGTGCTACAGGAAAATGGAAAGTAAGTAAGTTTATTTGTACTGATAGGTTGAAAAACGCTCTTTTGGTATGTAAAAATTATCTAGATATCATTACCACCAGATAGTTGCAATAATATAGAAGAACTAAGTGGACGTTTGGTCTTACAGTTAGCAGTAGCCTAGAAATAGATCATTCGTGTCAGGTAGATGTTTTTTGTATACAAACAATATGACGTCCTTTCTGAGTTACTAGTCCTCAACTATCTTGAGACAAGTATTGCCATGTGAGTTTGGCTTTTCTGCTCGCAAGGACTAGAAGCAGAATGAAAAAACTTTCAGCTGCTTTAGGGGAAGATTGTCTTGATACATTTAATGGTAAAACGTAAACGAGGTGCCTGAGGAACCATTACAGTGAGCTCTCTGTTGAGTTCAGTGTAACACAGATTTGATTGGAGAGGCTGAGAGTACGTGTCTTGAGATGGGAGGGTTGGTTTTCTTTGGATGTTTTGCAGGAAAATGAAGATCTGGGGGGGGGGGAAGGGAATTTAAGATTCAAAATTCCTTCTCTCTGCATGCCAAGTCGTCGTACCAAGGGCATATTGTTTGCTTGTCAGTGTGCAAGTGACTTTGCGCTTGCCTTGTTGTAAGGTTGATTCTCTCCTCCTTGCATTTCCCACAGGAAGATGTCCAGCTTTGGCTTTCGCACGTTGCATTTTGCAAGCAGTGGGTGAGTTTTCAAAATGCTAATCTTACCTGATTTGAGATATTGGATTGGTGTTTAATCAGGCATCTGGAACTTGAATTACAAGACGGGGGTACAAACTTCACTGCCACATGCTGTTATGCTGAAATAATTTTGATAGTATTGTTGGAGCTGCCTGGGGTTTTCACTGATGTATGTAAGTGTAGAATTTGACTCAGAATGAATTAGTGTGAAATTTGATGCTTGCAGGTGGCAAAGGTGAGGCTGATTGCATTGAATCTGGAGTACCATTTGGTTTGGGAGAATCATAGTATTGGTTATACCTTCTCTGGAATGAATGGATCACCTGTCTGTGAAGTGTGATTTTGTTCCAAACATTTCTTATAGTGGATATGCTGAAAAGTATAATTCTGGCAATTCTGTACTTTGTAAACTTAGCTGTGCAAGTCTTCACATTATTATTAGCATTCAGTCATTGTCCTTCCTGTACTGAAGAAGGCGACCTTGTCATAGTAATGCAAGTGGCTAAATAAAAATGCAGTCTTTACCTCAAAAGTGGTCAGTGAGACTATGGGTTTGTGACTTGGGCAACGTTTGTGTTAGCTGTGTAGTTCAGAAAGGTTTGAGTTAACTATGCTAATCTAGTCCGGTAACATTTGAAAGCTGGTCAGTATTGAACAAATATGAGAAACTTCCTGCCGAAGATAAGGTAGCAGAGAATTGTCTTTTCCAGTACAACTGCATTACAACTTGTATCCTTTCATAAAGAAACTTCTGTGCTGGCGGCTCAGTTCAGTATTAGAGTGGGTAAAGCAAAACTTCTTCTTTTACAGAATGCAAAACATCAGCTTAGTAAGGTGTTTTCTTCCATGTTGGCCATTCATCCCAATAAACCAGGTAAATAAAACAATGGTGAGTGCTGCATAAATGACCGAGTATAGATTGTATAGCGTTGGTTTAAGTTCCTACAGATCTCAGTTCAAGCTATTGGGCTAAAAATTCCTACCCTCTTTTCTTTGCCTTCCTGTACTTCAGAGAGAAGGGCTCTGACAGGGATTGTGCTGAGCAGTCAAAAGGTGATGTGAAGTAGGAGTCCCCATGGTCTGAATGACCATTTCCCGGGTAGACTGGGGACTGGGTAAATGTTTGAGAGGTAGGAGATGTTGAATACTCATGGCTGCTTTTTGGCTTTTAAAGACATCGTTGTACATCATTGGATCTGTAGCTATACCAGATTAAACTTCCTGGATCTGCTTGGCTTTTAGTCCTTTAGGTTTTACATGGGAGATAAATCAGTCTTATTCCATTGCTGAGCTTATGGTTTATGTTGGGGTGGGGACATCAAACAAAAACAAACTCTGCATCCTGGAGAGTAGCTTCAAAATGGGTTCTCATGACCATCCACTTGCTTTGCCTTAAAATGAATTTATTTGTATCATCTGTTGCAGCACTGTGGATTATGGCAGCAAAATGGGAAATGGAGACACAACTCTCATCAGAAAGTGCCAGGCACTTGTTCCTTCGTGCTTTACGCTTCCATCCAGAGTGCCCAAAACTTTATCAAGAAGTGAGTTCCTGGTTTTCTTCTACAACCAGTTATTTGATCGATCAGAGCAAATCAGTCCAGCATATTGTTCAGATCAGTCTGAGAAAACTGGAAAAAACTTGTTTCCCCATCAGTGGGGAAATGTTGTCAAAAAGATTTAAAAAAAAAAAAAAGTACTTTGTACTGGTAGCATTTATCAGTTGTTTAGCAAATCATGTATTTTTGTATGCAGAGTGAGGATTGTACACTGTTTATTGATAAATGTGTCAGAATTCCCTTTTAAAGTACTGTAAGCTCTGCTAGGACATAGTTCTCTGGATTAGATCTGGCATCCCTAGCCTTTGCTAGGGAACGTGGTTTTCTTTGAGGGCAAGTTAGGGTTTAAAGAATGGCTGGGAAGTGGTAATTTCTACATGTGGAAAATTTCTGAGTAAATATGTAGGGCAGATAGCTATATGCACAAACCTTTAAAAAACAAGGCGCTTGGACGTGTGTAGGATATTGGCAAAGTCCTGATTGTAGCTCCTCGGGTAGAGCTTCTTTTACCACATTTGTGGACTTCATGTTTTATGATTTATCCCCGCCCCCACAATAACATAATTTTATTCTCTTTCTCGCAGTATTTCAGAATGGAGCTGATGCATGCTGAAAAACAGAGGAAGGAAAAGAAAGAATTTGAACAAGCAAAGATGGACTTGGTAGGTCAGCTAAACTTACTTAAGAGATACTGTCTGCTTGTGTATCACACATTTGAATGCATAGTTTCAAGGGATCTGTGATCTGTATTAATGGTTTGTTTGAGAACAGCTTAGAGAAAGCTTTTGTTCCTGTCCTGTGCCTGAGTTAAGCTTTTCAAGTGTTGGCTGATGCTCAGCTCAAATACTTCATACCTTGATTTTTTTTTGCATTTGTAAAGTCTTTTGTTACATCCCCCAGTTTGAAAGTTAATAGTAATTTCTGGAAAGGAATAGTTAAAATTAAATATATCTTATTTCTTTATAGTTGACTTGTGCAAATCAGGTAAAGATAGATGAAGAAAAACACTAGTGTCGTCTTCTGATATTTATTTCAATTTTTTCAATGATGTTATGCTTGATATTGCAGGGGGAATTCAATTATTCTGAAGAGATTCTCAATGGGGAAATGGCTCGCATAATCTACAGGGATGCTGCTCAGAAGATTAAAGGTGATTTAACATTTCTTGTACTTATTCAGTAGGAAAATTGTCACCTTTAACTCAGCTCTCCAGTAGGTAATAGACTGGAGATACAGATAGACTTAGCTCCAGTGTACACACTAAGATAGTTTCAACTACACCGTTTCTTCAGTAGAACCTAGATAATGCCAAAGTATAAATTAATCGCGCTGATAATTCTGATTTCATAACTGTTCTGCAGGCTGACACCTCTTCCAGTACAACAGCTTTTGGGCTGAAGTGGCATAGGTGCTGAGCTGACAGTCTCAAAACTTGTTTGTTTGTTTAAAAAACAAAGGGAGGACAGCTCAGAATTGCACACCTTTTTTGCTTTGTTATTGACTGAACATTAGATCACAATTAATTAGCTACCACTAGTGACAGAGAATTAAGAATTCAGACTAATAATGAAACAGGTTAGATTATTTTAAATTAACCAGGCTTGGTAAAATTCACCCATTTTATTGAGAGAATTGGGTAAATTAACTGCAAAGTAGTAGCAGGTGTCTTTGAGAAACCGTGATAGATGGGGATATTTTGGAAGACAATGGGCAAAATATAATAACAGCATTGAAAAGTAGAGGGGGAAAAAGGACATTAGAGGAAACGACAGAGTTGGCTGAATTTAAATTTGTGGAGAAATACTGGAATAAATAGGTATACAAATGATTTGTAAGCACCTAAAAATAAGGAGGTGAGTAATGGCTGATAGGGATTCGCAGTGAACTAATTATGTCAAGTCATGTCACTTAGCATTCTCAGAGGTGAGTTACGGAGATACAAGATGGATGGATATAATTCATTGACATATACTGTGTGCAGCGTTGGAGAGGTCTGTCCCAAGTGTGGAGCCTTCTGTGTTTTCATGGCAGAGTCAAATGAAGGAGTAGAGGAGGTGCTGATTAAATTTGCGAGTGGAACCAAGCTGGAAGGATCTGTAAGCATGTCAGGACAGGACTAGTTTATCGCTTTGAGTCTGGAATGTCCTGCCTCTCACGGCCTTTTTTTGTAACTGGATAACATGAAGTTGTGAAGAATATAGTCAGACAATCGGCATAATAACATAGGGCTTATCACATGGGTGGAACACTGAGATTTATAGAAAAGAAAGGGGTATCTATCTAGGCACTTAAATGTTATCTGTGTCTTGACAAAAGCTTGCAAAGATACAGAAATGCAAAGTGTGCAATGGATGTAATACTCCACTTGATATTTTTTTTCTCCTCTTGAAATGTAGGTGTTGAGTTCCATGTGGCTGTGCTTTCTATTGCAAAGCTTTTTGATTTTACCCAAGATTTGCAAAAAGAAATTCTTGAAAGGTGAGGTGCTTTGTGTTGTGTTTTGTTGTTTTTTTTAATTTATTTTGTTTTTTAAGAAACATGTTCTCATAACTTCTCTAATTTATAGTGGGTTGACATGTTGACTAAAGGCTGTTCCTCTAGGGAAATAGAATGTTAAGGCCTGTGGGAAATCCTTTAAGAAAAACAAAACATGAGGCAAGCATGCTCTTTAGAAAAGGATACTTGTATCTAACTTCAAGAAAGGCTTTGAGAAGCTGCTAAGAAAAAATGAGATAAAATACAGTTGTTGCTGAAAAATTACTACACTTAGTTTCCGTAAATTTACTGCAGGAACTGTGGATTTTCCCAGTGTACTTTGTGGTTCTTTTGCATCTTTAGTTTCTCCAGTTGTTCCTCTCTCAAAAGAAAGATCTCTCTCGAAAGCTTCCTGTCTAGTTCATGCTATTACTGGAGAATATCCATATTAAATAAAAAACCAAAATAGGCTAATATTTTGTCTTTCTCTTGTGGAAAGGTAAAATGTTTTTTCTCTGGCATTTGGTTACTTAGAAATTAAGTACATTTGTATACCAATATAACAACCCTTCTAAACATACCTGCAAAAGAAGAATGGCAGTTGAGGGGTATTACAGACGTGGTGTGTTTAGTTTGCAGACCAAGTATGCTGATGATCCTCTTACATGGGACTACATGGCCCGTCGTGAGCTGGAGCTGGGGTCCCTGCAGTCCACAGAACACACCACGAAACAGATGAAAGTATCTGAAATGACCCAGAGAGAGGAGCGGTGCTGTGCAGTCTTTGAAGAGGCTGTGAGAGCAGTCCCAACAGGTGAAATGTTCTGCCTGCCTTTTAACATTTTTTTCCTGGTACTTTAGCGTAATGTATACTGTGAAAGTTTTGAAGTAGGTGTTTGCAGGCTCTACCATACCTAAGAGAAAGCAAGCAGTTTTTAGGTGCTATCTTCTTGGGATCTATTTTATGTGTTATTTGGGTTATTTTCCAATGCATTTATGCTCTCGAAGGAGCTGCTTAACTGAAAGTTCTTTTTGTTGCTTGTTTGATTTTATTAATGTGACTTAACCAATGAGGAGAATAGAAGCCCACAGATGAATAGAGGTTTGGGAGTTGTAAATAGAGAAAATTTCCTAAATAAAGGAAACCTGTAGAACTCGGGTATATTGCTGGTTAGCTGTAAGCAATGTTTTTGATTTGCCAGTGGGGTGGATATCCAACTTCAACATCTGGCATTGTCCTTACTCTCAAAGGAGGCTATCAAGGGACTATCTGTGGAGTGGACTTAAACTTGCTGCTTATACAGCCTTTGAAGTCAGGCAGACAAAGAAGGATTTTCTCGACTGCCTGTGAGTGTCCTCACTCTTGCAAGCCCATTGAAAACTACAGGCACTGAACATTAATTGTGACAGCATGCGCTGAAGCCTCAGCTGAAGCAAGAGCTTGATGCTCTTCAGAAAGAGTTACTGTCTGCAGCTTATACTGGGAAGCCATTTTTAAATGTTAATGTTATAAATGTAGGACCTCTTTTATAATACAACATTTTAAAACAAAGTTGGCATTAACACTTAGTGCTTGGATTCTCTACATTCCTTAAAGATAAATATTTGTGCTTACTCTTGTGATTCTGTAAAGTGTGATATTATGCCTTTGATTCTACAGAGGACATGTGGAAATGCTACATCACTTTTTGCTTGGAGAGATATAACAGGAAAACCAACAGTGAAGAATTAAAGCAAAAGGTAAAAGCTTATTAGGAAATTGTAGTAACAAATAATCCCTATTTTTACTGACTTCTGTAATCTATCAGACAAGGAGCAAATATATTTTGACATTTTATCAGAAGTACTTACCTGCGGCCATCATTAAAAATCATTTAGTCTTCATCTGAGGGGATCGCTTTTACTGTCAGGCTCACATGTGGCCTGCCTAAACATGAACAACTTGGGCATAAACTGGCCTTGTCAGTGAAGTACAGTGACCTCTTTGGATGGAAGTTAAGAATACAAACTTGCTAATGTTCCCTGATAGTCCTGTAAACCTGTGCTTGTTCAAAGAAAAGGATGAATTAAAATGACTCTTGCAAATAAGTCCGAGTAAAGTTCGGTGCTGGCATGTGGGCACCTTAATTATGCATCTGTGCTTGAGTGTGACTCAGTGAATTAACTGTTCATCCTGTGCAGTTTGGTTCCCTTTTAATACAGTGAAAATACATTGCTATGTTGTTCTTTTGCTCTTTAAGGAAGAAGTGTAATTCAAATGCTCAAATTTCCCCTTTTTCTTGGAATGTATGCAGGTACCTAAAGCATTAGATCTGTAACTTTTATTGAATTTCAGTGACATGTTGATGCACTAATCCACTGGGTTTCTGATATATACCAGATGCTGGGGTCTGGTATATGCAGGAATAACGCTTATTTTCTTTACTTCTCTGTTGGTTCTAGAGGCTGGAGAGGACACTGAGTGTGTTCCACAAAACCCATGAATCCAGTTTGCTGCCAGAAGCTCTCTATAAGCAGTGGGTAAGAGTTGACACAGGAAAAATAGATTGTGAGACTGTTCTGCATTGCTTGTGTGCCTATCTTTACCATTTTGCGTAGATAGAAAGGTGGGCAATATTTTGATCAAGGCCTTGCTTTTTAACAAGGTATTACAAATCTGTTGTGGTGGATGAGCTGTATCTGCTGGGTTTTAGGTTCAGCTATTACTGGAGTCCAACCTCTTTGAGACGGCTACGGAGGTGGCAGAAGCTGCAACTAAGCGCTTCAGCCTGTCAATGGAAATGTGGCAGATGAGGCTGCAGGTGCTGATCCAACTGAAGAGTGACGCTGTGACCCAGTGTTTTGAAGACGCCGTTAAGCGTGTGAAATCTAAGGTCTGTGCTGGTTTTATGGACTTGCATGCATTAGTCTTAGATAGGAAGCCTCTGATACTTATTTGAGGTTTTTTTCCCTTTACAAGGCATTCAAAGTCCCTAACCATTTTTAAGGTCAAAAATAAGAACTTGACATTTTACATGCGCATTGCATTCAGGAGCATTAGGGAATTGCAAATTCACTTCATATTCACAGTTTTAAAGTCTGAATGCTCACAGGTGACATTTTGCATACTCTTCTAGCAGTCAGCTGGTATTCTTTGTGTCTTACTTGAAAAAACATGTTTCCTGTTCACTGCCCTGATACATTGTTTGCGTGTGTGGTATTTCAAGCCTTGAAATTATCTATGTGCTCTCTTACTGTTCTATTTCAAACCCTGGGCACAAGGAGTGAGGAGGGGAAACAAGGAGGTGATTGTTTCTTTCCTCCTTGCTGTTCTCGGAAGTTACATTTGTACTGCAGTGTTCGGTGATGCAGAAGAACTTGTCTCTCATCCCTGGCAACATGTCTTGCAGCTGTCCAGCTGAGCAGTATTTGTCCTGTAAGTGAGGAAGGAAACAAGAAGTGATTTCAGTGTGCAGTCCAAAGTTGTCTTTCTAAGAGCTATGTCTAAAGGACTTTTTTACGGCAGCTGTAATACAGAACCTGGTGGATGTGTTGCTGTCTGTTTCTGTAAATCGGGGTCACTGTATTTCGGTCATTTGATTTATCTGCTTACCTTGCAGGGCACTTTGCCATTATGGAGCCTCTGGGTGGAATGGAGTGAAGGCACAAACAGCAAGGAAGACACAGAAGCTCTCTACTGGGTACTTAGCTAATAGAAATCTACTTTTTGTGACAGTGTGTAAATAAAGAGGAACAATGTGTGTGGATGGAACATGTAACAAATGCTTTATACTGCAGTTCCTCCATGGATGTGTTGATATCAAAGAATTTCAAGTAAAACTGTGTATGTTACCAAAAATCAGTTGGACGTAGGCTCATAAGCACAAATGTTGTCCCCATGCTTCTAAGATATCTAGATGTTTGTAAGCACAACCAATGATGGACTCTTACTTTTCGGTCTAGAATCTTTGCTCTATTTTCAGATGTCTATCTGAGCATGGAAAAGAGAATTTTCCAATCTGTGTGAAAACATCAACCTTGTTACAGAAAACTCAAGAACAAAACTGGGACTTTAATCTCACTGTAAATTCCCTAAATCCTTAGGGCAAAACATTTCCTCTTTGCCTAGCACGTTGGTTCCCTGCCCCCTTCCCCCCCCATTTACAGCATGTATTTCAGGTGGAAGCTTGAATTCAGTTGTTTGCAGAGGGTTTCACAATGCTCTACATGAAGGATATTAGGGAAATGCCAGTTGCCAGCTGTATGGAATATTGGATGAGACATGTATTTTAGGTTACAACTAATATTTTAATTTGAAAAATATTGCATGTGTTACCTAATGCTGTCTTTCAGACATCATTTGGGATGCTTTTGTCCAGTACTTTGTCTCACTTAGGAGATCTGTTTTATGTCAGATGCCTAATTAGGGAGAAGGTACTATTTGGTTTCTTCTCCCTTGCTGCCTTTTAATTGTAGCTTACGTGGTTGGCTTGTTTTTTGTTTTTTGGTTTTTTTTTCCTTTTAAACTTGCAGAGATCCTTACGTGAAAATGACCATGAAAAAAGTATCTTGACTGGACTTACAGAAATGGTGGTTATAAGAAAGTTAAAAGAGTCTTTACCAGGTGACAAATAAAACCTTCAAACGCGATTGTTCTAGGGCATGTGTTAAAAGGCCTGAAGTCTAAAGTTACTTATGTTTTTACTTCAGCCTGTGTGAAAATCGTCCATTTTCACTTGACTTCTTCAGGAAGATGATCCAAATAGAAAAGGAGCAAGTAAGTTGTTGAATATCCTGTTAGTGCCTTGTATTTGTAAAATACACTTCTAACTTTCGATTTAAATAGGAAACAGAGGGCTTATGAGTAGTGTCATTAGTTTGTGATCAGTTCATATTTGTCTTCTAAAGTTGATTCATAGCATGTAATACAAAACCAAGTTCCATGGTAACTAATCTTTGGCAGTGTGTGTGTGCCCGTGTAATTACCATGACTCTCTTTCTTTGTAAGAATCTAATCAAGCTGCAGATTCACTTCTGTACAAAATAAATGGCCTTTTAATACCTTCCTTTGTTAGGAATCCTGCAAAATGCTTCATCTGAGAGAATACTATGAACGTGCCTTGAGAGAGTTTGGTTCAACAAATTCTGGTAAGGCGATTTTATTTATTCATTCATTGAGTGCTGCCTCTTTTATTTCCATCCATTTCAAAAGGTAGCTGTTTGTTCTGCCCTTGTGATTGCTGTCATGCAGAGTGGAGCTTATTTCTTCTATGCCATTAAGTGCATGACACTCTGCAGCGACCCTTCACTTTCAGTCCAGGGTCGTTGTTCACGGTGAGATGGCTGCAGCAGAACTACTAGCAAATAAGGTTTTGACACTGGCTGGCATAGGAGATGCGTATCACCTTTAATTTGGATTTGTGAACTGTCTGGAGCTATGTTTTTATCATCAAGATTTCTGCAGTATTCCTTTTAAGAAAGTAAACGGCTCAATTATTGCTGCATTATTTCTTAAGACATCACTGTTGCAGCTGGGAATAGAACCCAGGCTTTTGGTCATCAAGGGGCAGGGGGTTGTAGTTTCACAAAATAAACCTCATTGCGTTAACATCATGGACACTTGCAAAAAGAGAGTTTCTAGGTTAGGTTTGGTATGTTTGTTACGTAATATCCAATAAAATCTAAACAGAACATCTATTTTTCTTTTAAAGACCTCTGGCTGGATTATATCAAAGAGGAGCTAAGTCATCCCCAAGGCAAACCAGAAAACTGTGGGAGCATTCACTGGCGAGCTATGAAGATGTTGCAGGGAGACCTGGTGGAAGACTTTGTTTCCAAATACACTTTATTGCAAACTGGACATTTATGAAAAACTATAAATAGCTACAACATGACAGTGTGGATTTTTTTTTTTAACTTCTTTGTACAAAGGTAAATATGTGCCTGGCTCATATTAAAGCGTACCTTCATTACGTTCTTGCCTGTGAGGAAAAAAACAATCATCTGCCCCGTTGCAGTTTTCTAGTGTTGCTTCTGCCACTGGCAAGTTCAAGTGCACAGTTAGAGGAGAAAGCAAAGGCATCTCTGAGAGTGTTCTTCGTTGAGACTTCTGAGAGCAAACTTGTCCTCCTGCCTAAACATTCAGATGGAATAGTCATAATGCATCAGCTTTTACACTCTGGAAAGCTAATACTATAGCACATAAATGCAAAAAAAACCCCCCAAACCCATGGAAATGACACCTGTGGGAGATCTTCGTATCTTAGTAAGTTGAATAATGAAAAGTGGAACACTGGAGAAACAATCTGTAAAATGATGGTATTTATTGTTTCCTAGCCTTGAAGTCATCTGTAATCCTCTTTTCAAAAACAAAACAACCTCTGCAACCACCTTGCATTGGTGTTGCAAGCTGTAATTCTGAGAGTGGCTATGAAATGTAGAGGTGAGCTGAGATCTGTTACAAATGTCCCTGATGTGACAGTAGAAAGTTCTGATCAACGCTTCAACTTTCTGACCACAATGCCTGAAAAATGGGTAACAGTTTTTTTTGAGGCAGCGCTATCCTTGGCTGTTTGCAGAGCCATATTTTCCTGTGTCAAACCCATTAAATCAGCATAAATGCTATCCTCAGACCAACAGAGGATACCTAGGGAAAGTATAGGAACATGCAAAAATGTTCCTTTATCTAATTGCCCAGTGACTGAATGGTGATACAATGACAATACAGAGAAATATTTCTTTGAAGTTTTTTTTGCACAAGTAGAAACTGCAGCTCCTCTCAACAAATTCCAGCAACTTTTGACTAGCTGGAAACAAGGTTTGGAGCAACAGCCTGTTAAGATTGCTGCTTCTGTGACATCTGAAGTACGTCCTGCTTTGTCTTTCCCAAGCTTTTATTTAGTCAGGCTATCTTCTATCTCCCCACTAGTTCTCAGCTGTCTCATGTCTGGCATCATGCTTTCCCCCAGTAATCGCTCCTCTTATACCCTGTCTGCCCTTTGTTATGTTACTCCCTCCCCTGAATCACTTGTCTTGCTTCTTCAGTTGCACAACAAAAAGCTTTTAAGTGCAAAGTTTGGATTTGGGGGATTTTTTGTTTGGTTTTTGGGGTTTTTTTTTAAGTCCAGCAGAGCTGGCAACTCCTACCATTTCTGAAAGTGGGCCCTTTTTCTCTACCTGTCCTGGTTCCTTACAGACCTGTGCCACTCACTTCAATACCTGCAGGACCTTTGAGCAAGATACATTTCCTAAAAGCACGCTTAGCTGAGAGCTGTTCGTGAAGCACCTACCAGACCTGTTTCAGTACAGGTGCTTCCCATCTCTTAATGCTCTCTCTGAGCATGCTTCTAGCATGAGGCCTAAAGGGTATTGTTATCTTTTGGCAAGATTAAAAAGCCACAGAGCCTGGAAAGGCATTGATATTTTATTTACAACTAAAGTGTGAAGGTGTTTTCTTGCAGCTTGTATGTCTGTATTTCTCCGCCTTTTTTCTCCAGGTGTTTTAATTGCTTGTTTCTGCCCTCAAGTCAGGCTGTTTTCCTCTCTCACTGGACACAATTTCCAGTAGTGATGAAAGAAGTTGTGCATAATGCGTTCAAAAACTACAGGCAGCAGTAGTCTCTGCAGCTGGAGAGGGATGTGGGAGGTCGCAGCGTCGCGCGCACCGAGGCTGAAGCGGGAGAACCCGCCGCTCGCGCTGCGGGTGGAGGCTCCCGCGGCGCCTCGTTGCCAGCCTCCTTCACGACTGGTGTCGCACCGAGCTCCGCG